GCTAAAAGAAGCTTGCATATCTGGTCTCTCAGGATTAAATGATTGTTTATAAGCAATAGGGCTACAACCTTTTGTTTTTCATTTATCCAAATAGTAAAATAAATGGAAACAGTTCAAAAATGTTTGAAAATTGTTTATAAACATTCACACCGGGGTTTCAGCAAAAAAATGGTCCCTGAAGCAGAATTTGTATATGAGAAATAGTGGTCCAAAACAATAGCCTTTTTTGCTGCTTTGATTGATATGAAATAAAAGTTGCAAAAATTATATCTGATTTACAAGAAATCAAGTTCTGTATTAGGGTATCAAATATAGCATATATTGTGACTACCCCTCCCTGACCATGTTTTGTAGACAATAAGTGCATCTCATTTGAACCTAAATATTTGTCAAAAAATAGGTATCACATTATTATTACCCTAATTTGTCATATATAAGAGTGATTTGTCATATACAATGGCAATTTGTCACTGATTTCTAATATATCAGGTATACTTTGGTGCTATATATGATCTTATATCTGGGGGCATATTTGATGCATTTATTTGCTACAAATTAATTGTCAGCTGATATTGACCTTGAGTTAAGTCCAATCTGATAACTTAATATATGCCCTAATTTCTTACAAATTGAGTCTACTTTCCTGGAGTTTTATTTGTTATCTTTCCAGGTCATTGAAATATACATCTTTTTTGTCCACTATTTATCATAAGTAAATCTTACTGTGGGGCTCATTTTTTGCCAGAAACCCTGGTGTGATTTATCAAGGGTTATGTCACAGTTCGGGTTGGGCTGCCGGGCCACAGGGCCACACGGGGCCGATCGGGCCCGCTCGGGCCCGCACAACCGCCATACTCCTCAACGCTCCCCCATTCTTCCAACCCCTTCCATTCACCCCTGCGGCCCTACGCAGTGCCCATCCGATCTGCCCTGGGACCTGGCGCCCATCTGATCCATCCCTAATATCGTAGCGTTGACATGCTTTCTCACAGCAGTGAGAAAAGACAAGAAAAATGCCAGAGTCCTTCAAAGGGCTCCAACAGCAACCAGAGCTAACAGCTCAATAGAAGAGTGAAGGAAAGGAATATCATGATCTAATGCTACTCTACTACATGCCTTTTATACTAAAGCATACAGGAGAGAACTGAATAAAAGGAACAGGAACTAGGAACAAGTCCGGAAAGGTGGGACCGACGGATCAATGCTGACTAAGCAGCACTGATGAGCCTCGGCAGCTCGTCAGCGTATAAAAACCATACTCACAAGATGTAGTCGCTAGGCTAATATCATCTATTCTCCAGGCTAACACCCACCTCTCGTACTCCTCAGACCCTCTCAAAGTCGGACCCCCCGACGCCCCGATACGGCCCGAGCCCGACGCTGACAGGTTACATCTTACTAAGCCCGTTCATGTCAATGCTAGGGCAATAACCAGCCTTCAAGGACATCTTGATAAGCAAAGCTTGCATCAACACTTGAGTATATGCTGTCAGTGACATATAAGGCTTGCCTATTAAGAGTTTAATGGCATGGTCCCAGGCCCTCCATTCTGGGAGCATGTGGAAGGATTCCTTGTTGAAGACATCTTGGAACTCTTTAGCCCAGTCTGGGATCTCAGAGAGGGGAGGGGCAGAGTTCCAGGCAAAGGCTTCAGCCAGGCGCTGAGAGACTGTTGAGTATTGACTAGTCAATAGGACTTGTGTACTACAGCTGTCATTCTGAACCCTTTATATACTACAGGCAATTATCTAGAAGATTCTACAAATATCTACAATGTATTTGGATCCTCCCCTGTTAGATCAGCTTCATTTGTATTTGCTTACCAATGTTCACTCTTTGGATCCTCCCCTGCTAGGACCCTGATTCGGCGGTGGGACAACTTCTGCGAGGGGTGAGTCATCCTGACGTCAGAGGCGCCCAGCCAAACACAGTCGCCAACCTTAAACTCTGGAGACGGAGTGCGTCTCCAGTTAAAGTAGCACTCATCGCGGGAGAGTTCGTCAGCCAAAATACATCACCAAGGGCTCGAACAGGCCTCGGTTAGTCTGGAAAGCCGCTTTCCACTCGTCACCTTCTTAGATCCGGGCGTTGTTGAAACCCCAACGAACGTCAAGTTTGGTGAAGTAACAAGCGCCTTTGAGCCAGTTGATGAGGTCGTTGATTAGCGGAAAAGGATAGCAGTGTAAGGGCAAACCTGGAGGCCTGAGATCAAGGTCCTAGCAGGGGAGGATCCAAAGCGTGAACATTGGTAAGCAAATACAAATGGAGCTGACCTAGCAGGGGAGGATCCAAAGAGAAGAAACTCTAAGGGTTCGCCTGCTAGGTAGCTGACTATATACTGCTTGTCCGTAGCTGCCGCTGTCGGGCACAGAAGGCTTGAGGTCCATGGCACAGATCGAGGGGAACAGGCCGGAGCGGAGTCGCTTCTGAAGTAACCGGAGTCGCCGCAGCTCAGTCCATTCAGTGCGTTCTTCCTCATGGCAAGTGGAGCAGCTGCGGGGGCATTGTGTCATCCTGACTTCCTTGGTTTCCCAATTAATCTCCGGGTTATGCTTCCGCAGCCAGGAGTAACCCAAGATGAGGTCTTGTTTGCCAAGGTGAGTGACAGCGAGTTGAACACACTCGGAGTGGCCTTTGTAGCATAAGACAATCTGATTGATGGAGCCGGCGTCATTTGGCGTGCCATCAACATTGAAGACCGGAATCAGTTGTACCAGGGTGCAGACCGGAATGTCATTCCGAGCAATGTAGTTTTGTGTCGATGAAGTCGGAGCTGGCACCACAGTCAACTAGACCGGAAAGCAAGAGCCTAAGCGCACTGATGGTGGACTCTAGCTCCAACGGGAGGTGGAGGGAGTTCGCCCCAGGAGTGGCGACTGCTTGGGTAGTTTCTTTTCCCAGGCAGTAAGGCGGCAAAGGACAATGACCGGAGTCGCAAGCGGAGTCGGAGACGGAGTCGAGGCGGGGCAGGAGAGGGTGTGTCTTTCGTTTCGGGCTTGTTGTAGGGCCAAGGACTGCATTCATCGTACAAAGAGGCAAAACAATTTATGGATGCAAACAAGGGCATACCAGTCACTCGTCGCGGGAGACAAAATCCTCTCCATGCTAAAGCAGGCTTGACAGGGGGCGCCCCGAGCCCTAGTGTGGTCTAGCTCCATTGGAACGGGGGCCGGGGGACTGAGACCGGGTGCGGGTCGCGGGTGGTGCTGAGGGAGCCACTAGGCGGATGGGGAAACAGGTGATGGGAAGTGTGCCGCGCGGAGCACCCGAAGCTGTCTGCGGGGTCGTTCCTTTAATAAGCTTTGAATGCACCAAGGCTTTATATTGTCGGAAGGCCTGAGTCCACCAGCCCAGATAGTCACAGAGATCTGGGGGGTCATTTAAAGATGTGATACCATTGTTGATCAAGGCCTAGAAATGCATTAAATCTTTGCATGTTTGCCTGTTGTTAAGTAGAAATAGCTTCAAACATCCTGGGGCTTCCACCGAAAAAATGGCCCTAAAGTAGGATATATTGATGATAAATAGTGGACAAAAAATATGTGTATTTTCACAACTTGGAAAGATAATAAATGAAACTCCAAGAAAGTAGACTTGATTTGTAAGAAACTGGGGCTATATTAAGTCATCAGATTGGCAAATACATGCACCAAATATGACACAAGATATAAGAACATTTATATCAAAAATCAGGGTCAGCACCAAAGTGTATTTAATATATCAGAAATCAGTAACACATTGCCATTATATATGACAAATCACCACTGTAAGTATATGACAAATTTGGGTAATAATAATGCAACACTAATTTTTTGGAAAACAAGTTTGGGCTTGAACAAGGTACACTTATTGTTTACAAAACATGGTTAGGAAGGTGCAATGTATCCAATATTTGGTCCTGATATAGAAATTGATTTCTTGTGAATCAGATACAATTTTTGCAACTTTCATTGTATATGAATCAAAGCAGCAAAAATAACCATTGTTTTGAACCATTATTATATATACAGTAAATTTTTTGGCTGAAAGTACTAAACCCCAGTATAAAACCAGAAATTCAAAGATTTGACCAAAGATACTTCGTGAAAAATAATATCCCAGCATTGTATATTGCTTTTCGAGTGCTGTATATTATGCATGGTTGTGCAGAACTGAGTCTGCCCCCATAGGCCATGGCAAGCGTGGGATGCTCGCCACTCCTTGACCGTGACTTAGAGTCACAGTCACAGCTGTGACCCACTTGCCAAGAGCTTTCATGAAACTCCAAAGCCTCACTCGCCGCTCGGGCAGCGGAGCGTGGACAGTATCCCGCGAGACGGATGACCCTCCTGGGAGCAATCGTGTGCTTGGATAGTAGGGTGGAAGCGGTAAAACGGCCAGTGAGCCGTCGTCATCGTTCATATGACTACGTATTCACCGTATGCAGCCACCTGTGGGTCATATGTACCATGACCACGAAGCCTCCGTGTGGGTTTCGCAGTGCCAAGCGCATTCACAAAAATAATCGCCTTGTGCGTCGATCTTGCTGCTTGTGCCCGTCGCCGGCTTGGCCGCCCCACCGAGTTCTATCCCCGCAATCAGAACGGCGGGCAGCCGGCACCAACAAGCTTCGAAAGCGAATAGCATGTGCTATCCATCAACTCTGCTGTTACGAAGCTCAGAAGTGCCAGCGAATGCGGTGACGTGGTTTGCACTCCCTCCCTCAACAACACCCCTTCAATGACCAGTTGTCCATATACCCTCTCCCCTGCTGCTGCTCAGCTAATGTTGTCACAAACGACTATGGGAAGGACAATAGGGACTTACCCGACGCCTTTCGACAACGTGGGAGCCACGAACTTCTCCCCGTCGCCTTCTCTTCGATCTATGATGAGCAGTCTTATCGTGTTTGTACCTTATCTATTTGTGTCTACTCTTCTGAAGCTTCCGCCTTCCCGACAGCACTGACTCGCGACAACGATATATAATATGGCACGACCAGTCCTCCTCGCTGTACGAGACTCCGGCCTCCCATGCGTCTCCTCTCCTTTGTCGCTCTCGCTGCCTACCTGGCCGTTGCCTCTGCCAGCGTCAGTCCGCTGAATGGCAGGGCAATGGTTGTGCACGAGACCGTGAAAGCGATCCCACGCGGATTCGCCCATGCCGGGTCCGTGGCACCGTCGCAAGAGGTCACGCTCCGCATTGCGCTCGCGCATACCGACATTACTGCCCTCGAGAAGGTCACCTACGACATTTCCAATCCTGCCAGCGCGAATTACGGCCAGCATCTCACGGCCGAGAAGGTACGTTCCTCCCGTCCGGTCTGTTCCTTGTCCGGTCCTGACCCTGGCGATGTAGATTGCGGAATACGTCAAGCCGCCAGCAGAGACACTCTCCGCCGTAAACGCCTGGCTCGACTCGCACGGCATTTCAGCCAAGTCCGTGTCTGCCGCCGGAGATATCCTGCAAATCACCGTCCCTGTAAAGACTGCCAACAGTCTGCTCGCAGCAGACTTTGTTCAATTCCAGCACATCGAGAGCGGCAAGAAGAGCGTACGCACGCTGAAATACTCGGTGCCGGCAGAGTTGCAGTCGAGCATCAAGTTTATCCACCCAACTGTCGCGTTTGTGCCCCCGCTCAAGGGCATTCCCGGTGTTACCGCCATCAACCACGTTCCGGAGACTAAACGCGAGGAGTTTGTTGAACTGCAAGGACGCGCGGTCCCGTCGAGTTGTGCCAGTATTGTCACTCCCGTAAGTGATTCTTTCACTGTTTGTGAGATCACTAATTGAGATTATTGTGATTCAGGCTTGCGTGCAGGCATTGTACGGTGTTCCAGCGACCAAATCCAACCACAGTGCTACGGGAAACACGCTTGGTGTCTCAGGCTACATCGATGTATGTTCTGTCATTCTAATTGCGTTCAATGTTGATGTCTGGGATAGCAATTCGCTAACTCCAATGACCTGGCTTTGTTCCTCCGGAATCTCAACCCTACCTTCTCTGGCTCGACCTTTAGCACCAGCCTAATCGATGGTGGTCAGAATACGCAGACTACATCGTGCGTTTCTTCAGGTACATGAGTTTGGGCCAATCGCTAACATTAAATCTGCCAGGCAAGCGGGTATTGAAGCCGACTTGGACGTTGAGTACACAGTTGGTATTGCTGGAGGTGTCCCTGTTACTGTAAGGCTATTGTTTGTGCGATCGCCTATGCTCGTTTGACACTTTCTCCAGTTCATTTCTGTCGGTGACCAGACCATAGACGATATCTCCGGCTTTGTGGTATAGTTTCCGCTTTAGAGCCTGTGCATTTCTTGATCTGGTTGTTGTAGGACATTACCAACTTCATCCTCTCCCTTCCCGTCGCGACACGTCCAACGGTTCTGACAACCAGCTATGGTTTCAACGAGCCAGATCTGCCAATCGAACTTAACGTGTAAGCACTCCCTTTCCCCGCGACTCGCTCGTTAATCATTCATAGCGAGATGTGTAATGCTTACATGCAACTCGGTGCTGCTGGTGTATCGGTTCTCTTTGCCTCCGGTGACGGTACTAAAAAATTATGTTTCTTCCTTTCGTTCGCAAGCTCACGGCATGGATTCAGGTGGAGTTGGTGGAGTCCAAACTACGGAGTGTACTTCCTTCGTCCCGACCGCACCTGGTGGATGCCCCTTCATCACCTCCGTTGGCGGTGTCACTGGTGTACCCCCGCAGACTGCCGCCTCGCTTTCAGGCGGAGGTTTCTCCAACCATTTCGCGTAAGTCTACAGCATTTGCTAGCTGTAGACTGTATGGAGCTGATTTAATTACTTCTAAGCACGCCCGATTTCCAGCTTGGCGATGTGCAATCCTACCTCGCAGGCATTGGTGACCAGTATGCCGGGCTCTATAACGCAACCGGCCGTGGTTTGCCTGATGTCGCAGCCTCCGCAGAAAGCGTCGAGATCGCCTGGCGTGCGTACCATGTTTTTATCTCCACTCGTTGCTGATTCATGGTGTAGAGGGTAGCTTCTGGCTTGTCGACGGCACGTCGTGCGCCTCCCCGATCTTCGCGTCCATCATCTCGCTTGTAAACGACCGCCTCCTCGCAGCGGGCAAGCCTGTTCTCGGCTTCCTCAACCCATTCCTGTACAGTCCCGCCGGCAGGGCCGCGTTTACCGATGTTACCACCGGTAAGCTACTTGTTCATGCTCTAGCTCGGTGGAATGGGTACTGAATGGACGCAGGTACTAACCCGGGTTGTAATACCAATGGCTTCTCCGCGAAAGCTGGCTGGGACCCAGTTACGGTGCGTGTCTCTTGTGATATCCGGGGCGGGCTTCTCATAGGCCACAGGGTCTTGGTACACCCAACTTCAATCTGCTGCTGGCGGCTGCTGGTTTGTAAAAGTTCCAGCGGGAGAACTGAAGAGGATGGATTTAAAGGAAAAGGGTGTTATGTACCGAGTATCCAAATCAATGGCATATTTTCACTGGGAAACCAAATGAGTTCATGGCCACAGTCGTACTTACTGTAAATGACGACGCAACGAGATACTGACAACGACGAGGGGGCCCGGGTTTGGTCCACGCCGTGTTTTTGAGTTCGTGAGTTAATCGACATAGGCTCCCAGATTCGTACTCTTGGTATTTTCTCGTCATACTGCTTTTGGACAACGCTATGCAACTATGGTCAGATTGAAGTCGCTCTCAAGCAAGAATCTAGCGGCGGTCACAGTCATGCATCACATATCCTAAGCTACTTCTTCCCTTCATCCTCCCGCCTTCCACTGTCCGCACCCAACATGCCATGAACTCCATAACTATCAAAGAGGGCACTTCAACGGAACCCAATTGCTGCGTGATACCGGCGAGGCAACCTGGTACCTGAGCATGGAAGGGAAAACTGGAATGCGATGCTAGGAACGGGCCTGACGATGGTATGCCTGCTCTCTTGACTGCCCTCCACCACGTCCGCTCTTACTGACTCGTAGCATCCAGCGTATCTCCACGCAGACCGAATGTCGACATTGTCTGAAGCGGAAACCCAGAAGAACGTGGATGTCGTTTGTCCAGCTTTCTGCGCTGCCTCGAGCCTCCGAACCAGAATACGCCACACTGTGCATGGCTCGCCGTATTTCTGACTGTGCCGCCGTCGCTGTTGTTCACAGAGACCGAGACAGAAATGGTCGCTTGGTGTGTCTGCCCGCTCCTCAGTGCTTTCAGACACTGACTTTTCTTCTCTACTGCAGAATCCAAGATTCCCGCTTACAATGCCCTCGTTCACACTCACCTCATGACCGACAAGAACCTCACATAGTCCCTTCCTCTTGCGCTTCCCTCTTCTGCTGTTGCTCTTTTCGGCGCTATATCTCGTTGCGGGTCGCCGCATGTAGAAAAGATCTTTGCATCTTTTCCCTTCGCTTCAAGTCATCGGCTGCGAGAACGAGAAACGTTGTTACCCACTTGGAAGGAGCGAAAGTTGCGTGAAAATGAGACACGCCTTCCCTGCCTTTCGCGAAGATGGCTCAGAGGCGCCGTGGCTTTGGAGGATGGCGCTACCGTCTCTGAAACGCACACACATTATACGCCACAAGAACTACTTCCCGAAATCTATCGTCAATGGCCATGGGCGTACAGCGGAGCTACCGGAGCGGAGGAACCAAGCATTGTGGGGTCCAGACTAAACACTGCGCTCCGTCCATTCACCAAGTATCTCCGTCAAATGACGGGCACGTTCTTCGGCAACCACGACACACTGGGATGATTCCGCAAACGCATTTTCCTGACCCGCCCTGTGTATACGGCGCGACATCTCTCGGATGCCTGACTGGCATTACGAGTCTTTTCGACTCCCTATGCTTTCCTCCATAGCCCTCTTTATGCATTCCAAACCCATAGCAGAGACGACACCGCTTCAACGACGCCTTTTCGCGTCTTCTTATTTCGAGTCACACGCGTCACGGTCACGCTGCAAGCACGCAATTTTGCAAGTTTCAATGTACGAAACCTACTCCTCTATGCACCGCATCTTATGGTGCAATAGACAACATATACTTCACTCAATTCTTCTTGGGCTCGAATACGACCGTTAAGGTCCTCGTCGACACCGTTTTCTCCAACGGCATCGACAGGGCCAGAATCGACTTGTAGTACAACTTGCGAGGGATTCCGACTGGCAAACTTGTACTACACGATCGCCGACGGCTCACTATCCTTCCTACCAACATTTCCGAACACATCGACTGGCTGTACTCGACCTCATCCGTCATTTTGGTGTTTTTTCAGCCCCCAAAGCCATTCAAGAGGCCAGGATGTTGCTCAGACAACTCATCAAGTGTCTCTAGTGATGCTACAGGATCTTCCTTCCTACTTGAAAATGTTCGCCGCCGCCGCGCCTCCTCCGGCGACCCTTTTCATCGTCGTCTTTTTCCCGAAGGTCACATCTGTCACTGTCACGCTGCAAGGACACGAGTTCGCGACTCTGTATCTACAACACCTGCGCTTCCATCGACCGTATCTCGTCGTGCAATACATCCTCTTCAGTGACCCTAATTCTTCTCGGACCGAATTTCCCCCCTCAATATCCTCGTCGATGGAGTTTTTGGCTAACGAGCTGAATCCGGGCTTATCGACGAGATCGCGGTATTTCGATACATCTGAGTGGGGAAATTTGTTTTCTGAGCCATCGCTTGCAACTTCCCATGCGCAAATGCTCGCGTTTACTGTAGTGGTGTAGTACACTACTCTAACGCAATTCAATCTATTACTGCCATATTGTCATCGTCAACCCCGAGCTCGATGGTGGAAAAGGCTTGTCAAGCTACCTTCAAACCTGTACTCGTCAATCGTGTGGTCTGACGAGGAGTTGCGGCCTGCATGCCCTGTTTCCGAAGCTGCCTCCCTCGCAACAGACACCTCAGGCCAAGGGGAAATTTATCACATTATGTCACAAACGGGATAAGTACTATAGTATCGTGTCGTAAACCAAGAACAAGTCCGTACAAGCCGAAAACTTCCGCAACCCTGCAAGCGTCGCTGGGAAAAGGTCAGTGGACTGTGTATCTACTTGTAGTTCTGTGACTCACTCAATAGTAGAGACAATAGACTATGCCTAGCAGAGCAACATCTTGATCGCAATTCCTCTGCCAGTGGGATGGCGAGAGGCCTTTGGATTATTTCTTATCTTGGGCAGATACTTTCGTATGAGCCTGCGATGCTTTATCTCTCCGCTCGCAAGTCTTGTATCTTCTTCCTGTGCTCTGCGCTGCGTCTTTGTCAAATGCAGGAAAGTGGCGCTGACAGAAGGGACCCACTGGCTCAATGCACAATGCGAGCAGCTGTACGCACAGACATGTCGAGCGATGCTTGTTCCAGGCGTGTGGATACACCTCCCTCCTGTTGTCCAGCTGGATTTCCCTACCACAGCCCCAACAGTCAACCACCCACCGCCATTTTCCTGACTTTGGGTCGAAGCGATACCTGAGATTATCGCAGAAGGGATCCTTCCTCAGATTCTTTATTCGTTCGTCTTCACCATGCGCCGTCTTTATGCCTTCAATATGCCCGGGAGGGGGAGGCAGGTGAATCCATTCACCAGAGTCGGCCACGTTCATCGCGCAGAGACAAAGCCTCTCCTCGTAGTCGAGGTCGGCGACATCATCAATGTTAATATAGGGAGGTGGTGGCGGCGGGGGGAAACTCAAGTGCTGTGCCGCATCGTAACTAGGTCTGCGGGGGACGGGAGCCACATGGGCATGTAGGCTGTGGACAGAGTCAGACAAATGCGACGCCGTATCACCACTTTCGAACTCCGACTTGCCTCGTTCCTCGTCGTTTTCTGGGTTGTAGCGCAACCAGGCTTCGTGACTGTCGTCTCTGTCGAGTGGTCCTGATATTGGGAGGCATGCTTGGGAGGGGGGGAAGTCTCTAGAAGTTGGACTTGTGCGGTGGATGAGGGAGGAAGGAAGGTATGGCGGGAGGATGTAGGTTTCAACTCAGAGTCATGGCTTGCTTTATAGTGACCCTCGTGGATGGGCACTGATTGTGTGCTCGATCACACGAGTCAGAGACAACCACTTGAGGAAACAACGATTGATTAAGTACACGGCGGGCGGTCAGATTGCCTTTGTTTTTGTTGCAGGTCCGAGTCTTGTTATTATTCTGTGTGTGCCGCTTTGTTGTTGTGTCCTTGTTCGTTGAGCACCGGTGTTTACGACCGTTTCTACCCGACGCGCGGCTGGTAATTGTCAAATCGATATAGTGTTGACACTTGTTTGTTTATTGCTACTTGTATTGAGTAAGTATGATGTTTCCCGGATTTGTATCATCTGTGTCCGCACCTTACACACACACAATCGAGGCGGTGTACTTCTGCCGTCTAAAGCGTACACAGCTTGTCCACAGCAGTGACGTACTTGTGCCAGTGGTTCCATCATTTGCACCACGCAGCAGTTCTACAGACTCCGCCCAGGCTTCTGTCAAGTTTTCTCAAGACTTAACCAAAAGCAAAGGCGTTTCTTAACATCAACTTTAAGGCCGCTCGCATGATTAATCAAAATCGCCCTCTCCCTGCGCATGCCCACCGGCACGAAATCCTCTGCAGCCACCGATGTCCACGAAGTGCCTCTCGATATGAACGCTCCCTTGCGGGAACTCAGGCTCGAACAAGCCCTTCAAGATTTCGCGTTTTCAAGCGGGCGAGTGGTAGGGCCAATGGCCATTGCCCAATGCGCGCTCGGCTTCGTCGCAGAAGAATTACGGAGCCTGCCAGTGCCAGTAAGAGGATGGTTGAGGCAGCAACTTGAAGGCAGCGACGAGCATGAGTTGTTATATGGCGGAGAAGAGGTGGAAGACGATGCTGGCAGTGAAAGAAAGGAACATGGAGCCTAGGACTCGGATGTTTGATGTTGCTGGGAAAGACGCCCGTGCTGATTTGAAGAGGGCATGTCGAAGCTGCAAAAGTCTAAAGAGGGTGGGCGGAAAACACACGGATATGCAAAAGACTGACCTCGGCGCAGGCCACAAGCAATGCCCTTGTGAGTGGGGTCACAGTCTTTGCCATTTTTTCGTCGCAGACTGGCAAGACACTGGCAGACACAAACAGCCACTGGCCAGCATCGAGGAGACTGAGTAAATGTTGTAGGTCGCTTGAGGAGGTGCTTGATAGCGGGGGAATGGACCGGTAAAAGAGCTATGTCGGTTCGATCTATGCATGAGGAAATGACTGCACTCCAGTCAGCAACGCGTACGGATGGAGCATTTAATTATACCGCACCCGGGTCTAGACAACACCCTTCTCAATGTCCTCGCGGTCGGTAAGGCTGGTTTGTGTTTGAAAGAACGCGAGTGGTTGTTCGTCCGCCTGAGTTTTGCTAGTGAGAAGAGAAGTGTCGGCATTTGTGAGAGACACACCTCGAGCGTAGTCCAGAAATTCGAGTCGCGAAAGGACCGATGCCACTAGTATTTTGAGGGCCGCCATGATTCTTGCAGGCTTTCCAGCGCGAGACACATTGAATCGTGCGAGTAGGTGTCATAAATCGTGGCGCTCGCGGCATCCATTAACACTGAAGGGCAGCAACATAGGTTTTCTGAGCGCTCGAATGGTTTTGAGTAGGCCGGGGCTCTCCATGCCCAAGAGATGATGTAGTAAGTAGTATTCGGTGGAGTCGATTGATTGTCCCCGTGATCTACAAAATCTTCTTCCTGACTGTCACCCACCGATTCCTTCGACACGGGTCCGAACAACTCGACCAGGATGAGGCGACTCTCGCGCGCCTTCGTGCGCTTTCTTGCAGAATCCAGGAGCTCAGGCTAGTGCGGGAATGAAAACGGGCAAGGAATTGGTGCGCCGTTTCTTTCTTTTGCATTTGCAGGGAAGTTGACGAGTGCTCACAGCTTTGCGTGTCTGGCCGCTAGCTCTGCGCATAGCCAGAGTGTCGCTGCTCAGGGAGGCTTCTTCTCGTAGTCTTGTCCTTGGTCAGCCTTGTTTGTCGTCGTGCCGTCAACAACGACTTATTTCGCTTCTAGCTGCCCAATCCCCCTCATGCCAATTGTCCAACTCGACAGCAATTCAAATTTGCTTTCATATTGCCAGCTTCCCGAGCGCTTTACAAAAAGACAGGAGAAGAGTCAGCGCTTGAATGGAAACAACTCGATATGGTGCGCCGTTAGACGATTTACCACCTTCTCTTGGCTGACCAGCATGTACAGTATTCACGAAAGACCTACCATGGAAAGCATTTCGGCCGCCTCTCGTTCAGCACCGTTGTCATTTCACTCAATGCGCTCGCTCTTCGTCTACTGATAGGACCGGAATATAAGATGGAGCAAATAGAGCCCGTGCAACTGCTACCCAGAAACATAGGGAAGGGTTATATCTGGTGCGTAGCTATACTATAGCTACTAATGCCTAAGTTCATGCTTTTTTTACAGCAACGACACCCTACAAACGCATATCCTCAGGTTGCTTGTCGCCGCTCGATAGACGAAGTCGGAGGGGAGAACCTTTCGTATGAACCCTACAAAACTATGAAAAAACATGGATTGGGAACCTTCTTTTCGCCAGCAAACGACAGCAAAACTTCACATTTTACCCCTTACTCGATACCCACTTTCCTTTCGTCACTCTTCGAACTTTCCGCACCTTTCCATTTCGTTTGGCCTTATTCCCTGCCTTCGAAATTTCCCTGCGACAAACCGCGTCACAGCTGTGGCCGCTAGTCTGCGCCATCTCACCATTTTCCTGCTTGCCGTCGTTTATCAAGCTATCCTTCGAATCCTCCGCGCGCCCTCCTTCTACTCCCCCCAACTCCTCCGCAACTGCAGCTTGTGCACATCCCCCTCACATTCTGACGACAGGGACCACAACACGGTTCCCAATTCCGACTCCAATGCCGTTTTTACAGCACTCGTCGTGGTTTTCCCCTCATAATAGACGCACAACAGCGAGGCCTCGATATCACGATGTGCTAGAATATGCTGGAACGACTAGAAGACTGGAATCCTTGGGACTCCGAGACTGCTTTCAGTTTGTTTGCCCGGCAACTGAGGGGAGTCAACTTCAAGAATCCGTTATCCAATACCATCTCCTTTCATTCCCCTTGGATCCTGCTGCACCTTTCTCCCCCCCTCATCCTCCTCTCCTCCCTCCGAAATCTTGCGACACAATTTCTCGCTATGTCACCGGGGGTGACCGTCACTCCTGAGCGTTTTGCTACCTACCCAAAGTGGACACCAGTCGCTGCAGCGACCCGATCTCCCGACGTTCCATCAGTATGGCCTGTCGTATATCGATTTTGGCCGCTTTGGCTTCACGGAATGGTCCTTTTCTGCGACTGAGTCGTCTTCTACGACGTCAGTCGGCTTGGAGCAATTCTTTCGTGGTCTTGGGATAGAGAGGGGGGCTACAACTTCCCCAGAGACGGGGGACCCGTCTTGGAAGATATTCAAGCACTTCCGTAATGCATTTACGGAACGAAATTTTTTGTCCCCGCCTGGAAGGCCGATTGGACATGGTCCCTATCAGTCCACTGTCTTCGACTGCCGTCTTCGGGTGCCGAAGCAGCTGGACTCGAAGTCGCAGAAGGCTTGCAAGGATCAAATGCCACCACCCCTGCACTACTACCGTGTCGATATGGCTGTACATGTGTCCAAACCGTCTTTCGGTACTTGGCCCCCTCATGACATCGACGTAACTCACGCACACAACACTCGTCCCTCCAAACCACCATATCTGATCCTGTGCTCCCATTTCATTCCGATACCGCCCATTGAGTACGGAAAGATGCTGTACATATTGCTTTCTGGGAGAGCGCTGGCCACACTTGGCTGCGTCCTTCTCATGCTTATACTTTCGTATTACCCCCTTCCACCTTTGCATGCATACTATACTACTTCGTTTTACCTCTTCCTTTCGGACCTCTTCCTTTAGGACCTCTTCTCATCCGTTTCAATCTACATATTTCACTCTCCATTCGAGGCATCTACTCAAACGCATGATACTTCCGTTTTCGCTATTTTCACGTTTCGCTATCATCACCATCAAATCCCTACACTTGCTCTCATGCATCTCCGCATCCTGCCATATCGACCTCGACTTGTGCTCCTGCCCGATTTGGCAGGTTACCTGCCTTTTTGGGAGACAGTGCGGAAATTGTAAAAAATTGTAACTGGTGCAGGCCCTTGCAGAGCGGCTGGTTAGTTTCTGAATGCGTCGAGCATGAAACATCATGCAATTCTATCGTCCAAGCCTCAGCCTGGACGTTTAGAAGGTGCTTCTCAATCTCAATTCCTCGCGGTTAGTGATGCCGGTCTCAGCGCGCTTGGATTTTTATACGTGAGGTTATCTCTCCACGAGTCCACACACTCGCCATCGGCCATCGCGTCTGTCGTGCCCTATCCTGTTCTCTGCCTTCGTTGACGAAATTATAGGTGGATTGGCAGTGTCAATGCCCTTTCAATCGTCTTTGGTGGATTGGTATCTGGCCGGTGTGGGCGTCGGTCAGGCGGTTCGCCGAGGACAGGGCGTTTGTTCTTGCCACGATAGGGTACGTCTGCGATCGCGACATGGATTTCTCTCTTCTAATGCAGTTTTGAGGATGACGCAGCAGTGACGCTGTTCACGATGGGGCCCAACTTCCCCATCTTCTACTTCCCGCTCGACGCGGTCAAGCATGGCGTCGACGAGGGCGTCGCGTTCTGTACGGTGCGACACACCGTGACTCGGACTTTCCCTGCGCATTTTGGTTGACGATTTGCCAGCTTTCGTCGTCATCGGCGTCCTCTATGGGCTGTGTGCGGGGCTATGTGCGTCCCGTTCTGCTGATACATCGCTTGCTGCTGGCAACCACACCTGCCTGGGCTACCGCAACTGCGGGACTTCGGTGTGTGGTTCTGTTTGTGTCTGGCGGACAACCACTAGCGTTTGAGAGCGTCCCATCCCCTTGCGACAAGGCGCAAAGTACATTCCACCATCGACTAGGAGACTGGGTAACAACTGTCGACGAAGATGACCAAGAGTATGATGAGTCGTAAGTCTGATATATATGGGAGTAGTCCTAGGTGAAAGTATTCATGGATTTCAGGTAGATAATTTCCACGAAGAAAGAAAGAACGGAATGTGCAGGAAAGTATTCGAAATGAAGGACAAATATAAGTGAGCTCGCTCCAAAGCCAACGACGAAAGGGATATGTTTGAAGTAATGGGGATGGGGAATAGTGCGATGGTGTTGGAAAGCGATGACCGGAAGGAATGTAACTTGCTACTTGTGCAGCGAAGAGCGAGTGACCAGGCAGTGAATACCTCTAGGTCTGCGAGCGGAGGCTAAACGCCGACCACCGCTGGTCTCTGCTGAAGAAAGAGAGTCCCGATTGCCCGTAAGGGAGGAGAGTGGTTGACATATCACTGGCGAAGACCGTGATATCGAATCGATTGGCGGCGTTGGCGCACAGGAAATGGCGGGATGAAAGGTGACTTTTGGATTGGGGGAAAGTTGCATGAGCAAGGTCGTTAACAGTTAACGGGGTTGATAGGGAGCTAAAGGAGCTCCATATGTTGATGAAGGGAATGCGACTGGGGGACAACGCATGAGTTCGAAGGAAAAAGACAGGTTTTGTCGACTGACTTTCCAAATTAGGCAAGTGGCGAAATTGAAGTATCTGCCTTCGTGCCCATCCTTCGACGTTCGTAAGCGTAAACACGACCGGCGATAGACATATCGCATGCGAGATCGTGGGCATAGCTGCGGCCGGGGGCATGGAATGATATCGATTCGTCATTTCGTCACCCAAAACGACCACGACGACGTCCTTGAAGACCTCGGATTCCTTCGAAAGCTGCTTCCCCCTTGTTTGAATGATACGAGCAGTCGCGGGAGCGCGTGTACGAGTCACCAGGATTGTGCGCGGACAAAGGTGTCTTTCTTGCCCCGAAGGGTGAGAACGTGTCGGCAGTAGGAGCCACTGATGACTACAAGAGGGTATGCGGGGTTCGTGGCGGAGGGATCAGGTCCACGTCCTGCATTTTCAAAGGAATTGTCGTCGGGAAAGTGGCAGGGTGGATGGAATTGAAGGAATATGTGAATGAGAGCTGAAGGCGGCAAAATCGTCATCGACAGGATATCAAATGTCGACGGAGATCGTGCAGTGGCCGGAGATGAGCTGGAGGACTTGTCAGGGAGACGCAAAACAGCCACAAAGTAAAAGTTTTGACTTACCCCAAACAAAGTCGGTGAGACCTGAATCCACCCCCGTACTTGACGTTCGCGATAGTATACGTTGCAGATATTGCAGAGTTTTTCGGCGATGGGCTGCAAGGCTGGAAGACAGTAAAAATGCCGTTGGACTGAGTACCGGGTCGGGACATGGCCCAGTCCATGGCGGCGGAAAGAGAAATCGTCCTTTGCATCGATGAGCATGCAGATAGTTGCGAGGAGAGTGAGGTTAACGCACGCATGGCCATGGTTGGCTCGGAATTCAAGACTACATGCAAGTCTTGACCGTCCCTTCCGGCGCATCGCATTCACGACACCATTCCCCGGCTGAAATGCCCTCCTTCACATCTCCAGCGTCGTGTATGGCCGCATTATTGTCGAATCAACACAGTTGCCGGCCTTGAACGTGTCTTTTTGGCGGCTGAGGAGGAGCAAAGAGGCGGTTGGGTGAGGGTGCTGTTGGTTGTGGAGGCGGCGGAGGCTCGTTGACAATGTCAAATCGCGATAATGAGTCTGACAAAAGAGAAGTTTTGAGCCCCAAGGACGTGCAGAGATATGGGAAGGAGCAGACTTGCCTTCGAGCCCAAAGCCTCGGTTATCATCCCAGCCCTTGGTGAATATGCACTACCACAGCACGATTCTACCGATCGTCTGGGATCGATTTATGCCCTTGAAGGAGTCACTTTCGTCATGGGTGTTGCCACAGAGGTTGGAATGGGTGAACTGCGGCGACTGCGAAAAACGTCGCTTCCAGCTATAAGAGGATGAGAAAAAGGCTTAAAGTCCAGAGCAGAGCAAAGCATACCGCTTGTTATGCTGCTGCAACAAGCGTTCTGACGTGTCTGCCGGCTGGGGACGCTCCAGGTGGTCGTCGTGGTCAAGACGAAAAAAGTGTCACGCTGGTGAGTCAGCACAACACGTCTGCTTGCCAGTTCTTCTACAACGAGGAACAACTAGACACCGCACCTAGTAGCCAACGAAGGTACTGGCACCACGCGCAAAGGTGTGTAATGATTTTGCTTCCTTGCCCGAGAGCTGATGCTGGTCAGCTCTTCCGCGACACCACCATGTCCCCGCTCAGTTTAGGACCCTGGCGTACTGGTCGGCAGCCTCTACGAGTAACAAGAGTTCGAGGGCTGCGTTAAACCGGCGGCAGACAACACTTTTATGTTTCTATGGTGCAAATTCGATGCTGAAATGTAGTTGTTATCGATGGGCGACAGTGAAGTGGATGCCTAAAGGTACGCCACATTCACACTGCTAGACTCTAGTCTCGCTGACAAGGCTATCTCGAGGCCTCTTCAACAGCTGGCTCTCATCTGAGCCATCAGAGACAATTTTTCCCGCTTGTCGTTTATCAAGCCATCCTTCGAATCCTCCGCGCGCCCTCCTTCTACTCCCCCAACTCCGCCGCAACCGCAGTTTGTGCACATCCCCGTCACATTCTGACGACAAGGGGGCCACAACACGGTTCCCAATTCCGACTCCAATGCCGTTTGTACAGCACTCGCCGCGGTTTTCCCCTCATAATAGACCCACAACAGCGAAGGCTCGATACTAGTATCACGATGTGCTAGAATATGCTGGAACAACTGGAAGACTGGAGTCCTTGGGACTCCGACACTGCTTTCAATTCGTTTGTCCGACAACTGAGGGGAGTCAACTTCAAGAATCCGTTATCCAATACCATCTCCTTTTATTCCGCTTGGAGCCTACTGCACCTTTCTTCCCCCCTCTTCATCCTCTCCTCCCTCCGAAATCGCCGCAGCGACCCGATCTCCCGACGTTCCATCAGTATGGCCTGTCGTATATCGATTTTGACCGCCTTGGCTCCACAGAATGGTCCTTTTCTGCGACTAACTCGTCTTCTACGACGTCAATCGGCTTGGAGCAATTCTTTCGTGGTCTTGGGATAGAGAGGGGAGGCTACAACTCTCCCCAGAGACGGGGGACCTGTTTTGGAAGATATTTCAAGCACTTCCGTAACGCGTTTACGGGATGAAATTCTTCGAGGTCCTCGCGCGGAAGGCTGATTGGCAATTGAACATGGTCTCATTCAGTCGCCTGTCATAGACTGCCATGGTCGGATGCCAGACTCAAAGCCACCGAAAGCTCGCAATGGTCGAATGTCACTACCTTTGCACTACTACTGCGTCGAAATGGCTGTGTCAACTGTTTTTCGGTACTTGGCCCTTATGACATCGACACGACTCATACCTCCAACCACTATCTTGATCCTTTGCTCCCATTTTATTCCGATATTGCCAATTCAACGACGAGTACAAAAAAGCATATTGCTTCCTGGGACAGCGCTGCCCACACCTGGCTGCGTCCTTGTCATGCTTATACTTTCATATTCCTCTTTCCGCCTTTGCACGTACACTATACTACTTCGTTTTTCCCCTTCTCTTCGGACCTCTTCTCATCCGTTTCAATCTACATATTTCACTCTCAAGTCAAGGCATCTACTCAAAACATTTTTTTTTTCGCTATTTTCGCCATCATCACCATCGAATCCCTCCACTTGCTCCCACGCATCTCCCCATCCTGCAATATTGACCTTGACTTGTGCTCCTACCCGATTTGGCAGGTTACCTGCCTTTTTGGGAGGCACGGGGAAACTTGTAAATCGTGCAGGAGGACGTTGCGAAGCGTCGCGAGCGTCTTGATCTTTGCGATGATCGCGCTCGAGAGCGTCGCGAGCGTCGTCGTCATCGGCGTCCTCTACGGGCTGTGTGCGGGGCTACCGCTGGCCATGGTGGCGCGCGGCGGTGTTCAGCGGCGTGCATCTCCCTCTCGTGCGCATGCGTTCCCTTGTCGTGTTGGTGTTGGTGGCATGGGTCAGGTCATGACACTTGCTGGCGCATGCGTGTTCGTGCTGCTCATCCTTACCACGGCCGTTCGCAGAGATGCACGTTGTCGAGAACTGGATACGGAGACGAGAGTGGAGGAGAAGGCGCCAGCTGGTCTTGGCTCGGAGAATCCATCGAGGCTTTCGCTACCACTTGAAGTAGAAGAGCCTTAGAACTAACACTGCAGACACAGTACTAGTATATATACAAATAATGAAAGACAGACCCTCCACTCCTTGCCGTTCACTTGACCATGCTAGAGCAAGCACTGCAAGCTTTTTTTAAAATTCAAGTTGGGGTTGAAGCATTCTGGGGCGCACGGACATTGCACGGACAGTGAAGTTTGAACTACTACAGCCGGAACATGTCCGAATGCTAGTGGAGAGTTCCTTTGATAGAGTTTTCGCAGCGACGGCCAACAATTACGCCCCAAGGACCAAATAGTTTCCAAACAAGCTACAAGTTTACACAGTCATATCGTACATACTTACTACTTACAAGTTTACTTACTGCTGCTACAAGAAATCACGAAATAAACACGAAAGCAAGATGGACAACTTGAACTAATCTCCGCAAGAAAGCATGCACACACACTGCCTCGCACGAGGACCCAAGGTGGAGGATCCCCGCGACCGTGACGGCGTTAATACCAAGGCATATCATCGGGATTGATATCGAACTCTGTGTTGTGGCGGATGTGTGCTGTCAGACCCGCGCAGTCTGCGAGCGCCGCATGCATGTCGAGCTGCGGCCCGCGCAATATGTGGCAGTAGAACTGGACGAGTCGCTCCACACCTTGTCCCGCGCCCTGGCCGGCGATCGCCGGGGCCTCGAGGGTGCGGGCCCGGGCGCGGACGAGGCGCACGATAAGCTCGTCAGGCGTCGCTTGCACACGGGAGAGGCTAAGGCAGCGCACAGCGGGACATAGCGTGGCGGTGTTTGCCGTGGGGAGGAGCCAGGCAAGGAAGTTGGCGTCGGCCCCGTCGAAGGGCTCGAAGCCGAATGGGGCGGGTGGGGCGCCAGGCGGCCGGGGCTCGCCGAGGAGCTCCAAGTCCTCGATAGAAGGCAGCTGTTGAAGCGCTGCCACGAGTGCATCGGTGGTGATGACGTGGAGCACGAGAACGAGATGCCGGATGTGGCCGAGGTTCTGGAGGCTCATCGGATTGAGCGCTTGCAGCTGGCCATGGGATAGATCGAGCGTGTGGAGACGGGGGGCCCTCAAGAAGAGCGAGCATATATGACAGGTAGTCGCCGTCCTCATGTTGAAAAATGCCGATGTCGAGCGTAGTGAGCTGCGCGAGCGGAATGTAGCTCGGCGTGAGCGCAAAGAGCGAGTACCCGGAAAGTGAAATGGAGAGCGTCTCAAGCGAGTTGCACTGGACAAGGAACGAGAACGGGAATTCCAAAGGCAACCCCTCCGTGCTTCTGGCTTGAATATCCAGCGCCACGAGGTTGCCCCATGGCATGTCCGCGGGAATTGCAGGATAGGGGCCCTGGATGGAGAGACGACGAAGAGAAGGAGCCGCGAGGAGGGGGATTTGCAAGCCGCTGCTTCCGCACAAATAAAGTTCGAGTGTATGCAGCTGAGGCACATCGCTGACCTCGAGCAGTGCGAGGACTTGCTCGTCACGCGCATCTTGCAGCCATAGTTTCATGCTGCGCCAGCGGGGGGCGGCGGTGACGAGGGCCTCGATGACAGACTGTCCTTCGAATCTTGGTGGGTTACTGTCCAAGGCCGCGCGCTCCTGCATAATGATCGCGGGATGTTCCTGCCGCGCTTGCATCGTAACGTCCAGTGGGAGTCCAGCCCCGCGCTTCAACCAAAGGACCAAGTGCTCGAGGGCCCCAGCCTCACTCCGGCGCGGCCGAGCGACCAGATGAATTGCCGACCACAGCTGTGGAAGCGCCAACGCAATTTTCCGCCAGTAATGGCACACCTGCAAGAGCAGAAGTGGCCCCTCGCGCGGATGCATCGCCGTGTTGCGGTATTCGGGGAGCGTCTCCAAGAAGATGAGCCGTAGGATGTCCTCGGGGACGCGCCGCATGGGCGAGAGGAGGGCCTCGTGCGAGGTGATGAAGTTGGCCAACTGGTCACGCTCCGCGACCGCGGCGACAAAGAGCCGCCGCATATCCTCGACGTGCGCATGTAACCCAGATAGCCTGGCGTTATGCGGGGCAACAAACTGGCGAATGACGTCGCATTCCTCGTCAGTTGGCACAGTGTTGGTGTGGAGGATATGGTGAAAAGGAGAGGCATCCATATCTATCGGAGTCAGCCGTAGGAAAGTGTAGGAAAACCAGCCTTACCGTGGAGGCGATGGCGGGATGGTGGTCGAGAGCAACCTGATTCAGTAATCAGGCTTCTTTTTTGGTTGCCTAAGATCACGTGCTACATGACGCTTGTTCGAGCCCTGACCAGGGATAATTTTTAAGAACCAGAAACTGGTGTGGTACTTTAGGCACATCACAGCTCTAGTGATAGAAATTACTCGGATGTCCCGTACTGTGATTAGAGATCTTAGAAATTAGAATCAACGAGTCAAAATGATGGCATCATATACCGTGACCGGATCACAATTAAGGCTGTGCACCCTTCTTCTTTCTCTCCTTCCTCCACCATGTTGCTCGACAAGGTGACGACTAAGCAGCATTAACTCTAGCCGTCTCACCATGCACAGCTGGGCCGTCTCTTCCACCGTCGCCGACCCGCAAAGCCCGACGCGGAGCCGGCACCCCTGAGGCGGAATACGGCTCTTATCACTGGCGAGCCGCGCTTGCCACCGGAGCTGGAGCGGCTCATTTTTGAGCTGGCGGTTATAAGCGACGAGCCGCCCGGTGTGGCCGCGGCAGGATTATAGTGCGACGCTCCTGGCAATGCCGCTGGTGTGCAAAAGGACGCAAGCCTGGTGCGTTTCTTGCTTCAAGGGCCGCCGCATATCCTCGACGTGCGCATGTAACCCCGATAGCCTGGCGTTATGCGGGGCAACAAACTGGCGAATGACGTCGCATTCCTCGTCAGTTGGCACAGTGTTGGTGTGGAGGATATGGTGAAAAGGAGAGGCATCCATATCTATCGGAGTCAGCCGTAGGAAAGTGTAGGAAAACCAGCCTTACCGTGGAGGCGATGGCGGGATGGTGGTCGAGAGCAACCTGATTTAGTAATCAGGCTTCTTTTTTGGTTGCCTAAGATCACGTGCTACATGACGCTTGTTCGAGCCCCTGACCAGGGATAATTTTTAAGAACCAGAAACTGGTGTGGTACTTTAGGCACATCACAGCTCTAGTGATAGAAATTACTCGGATGTCCCGTACTGTGATTAGAGATCTTAGAAATTAGAATCAACGAGTCAAAATGATGGCATCATATACCGTGACCGGATCACAATTAAGGCTGTGCACCCTTCTTCTTTCTCTCCTTCCTCCACCATGTTGCTCGACAAGGTGACGACTAAGCAGCATTAACTCTAGCCGTCTCACCATGCACAGCTGGGCCGTCTCTTCCACCGTCGCCGACCCGCAAAGCCCGACGGAGCCGGCACCCCTGAGGCGGAATACGGCTCTTATCACTGGCGAGCCGCGCTTGCCACCGGAGCTGGAGCGGCTCATTTTTGAGCTGGCGGTTATAAGCGACGAGCCGCCGGTGTGGCCGCGGCAGGATTATAGTGCGACGCTCCTGGCAATGCCGCTGGTGTGCAAAAAGGACGCAAGCCTGGTGCGTTTCTTGCTTGAACTTGAACTTGAAGGAGAGAAATTGTTATCCAGGTTTGAACCGGCGATATACCGCCGCATCGCGCTGCTCGAGAGCCTCAACGGCCCGCTCGGGTGCCCCGAATTTCTCCATACCGTCTCCGCGCGCCCGGCAAACTTCTTTGCGGACCACGTGCAGGTCATCTATTTCGACTACCGCATCCCGCTCGCAGACGTCCGAGCTGTGCTGCGCGTATGTACCCGGGCTGTTACCGTCGGCTGTCACCAGAGTTTTTCGCGCATCGCTGCAGAGCTGACGCCGCTCCCCCTGACCCGTCTCCTTGTCGCCGAATTCGACCCCGGGCCGCGCGCGCCGCTGCCGCCTTGGGCCACGACGCTCACCCACCTCGGCATCTCAGCTGCCATTCCACATACCGCGGCGGCGCTCGCTCCCCTGTTTGAAGGGCTGCCCGCCCTGCACGCGCTCGCCGTCGGCGCCGACGCGTTCTCGGATCCGTCGGCCGGCCCCGGGCTCGGGACCGAGCTCCAGACGGTGCTCGATGTGGTGCCACATGTGGCCGTCGTGCTCGTGACGGACAGCCGCACGCAGCGCAGCTTTTCGGTGCAGCGGATGCAGGAGGAGCGCGTTTCGGCGCGCGAGCGGCGTTTACGTGCACCTCCGGCCGGCCGTGGATGGCACGTGGGACGCGTGGTCGCGGCGCGTGCCGGATATGTTTGACGATGCGCGAATGGCGATGGAGCGCAGGGAGAGGGCTGCGGGATGATTTGACTCGTTGATGGGGAAACTTGCTTCCCCATTCCCATCACCCCGACAACTGAGAAGAAAACTGGAGGATTTTTTTAAATTTTAATGAAGGTAATAATGGTTGAAAAAATGGTGACCTTTAATGATTAGAAAAAAAGGTTTAAATAATGTCAACTAGATAGGAAGGAAATCTGACCAGAAAAATGTTTCTCAGATTGTAGGAGAAAAAGGGTGCATATGTGGAAAAAATGGAAGATATCTGGGCATAAGAGGCTTTTTTGTATAACAATGTTGATTCCTTTTTTTCTGATAAGATTGCTGTTGTACTTATTGGGTCTTTTTAAATCCATTTTTCCCAACAAATAAAGGTGTCCCTTTTTGGGGTCATTATTACCTTAATTAACATTTAAAAAAATCCTCCATTTTTGTTCCCATTCCTCGGGGTGCATGTCACTCCCCCTGCCCTCCAATTTGTGATGGGGCGGCGCCTCGCTTACAAAGCGATTTGTCAGCGACCGCTCCGCGGTCGCTTGCTGACTGGTTGCTTCGTCACATGCCTTGACAGCTATGAGACTTTTGCTAGTCAGCTATGCTACTAAGCCTCACCTTGCCCACAGGCTTTTACTTCTTGAAGCCCCACACCTCACATAGATATCTTGGACTCACATGTATTATCTATCCTTTACTCTTGCTTCTGACCAAAATTTGTAGTGCTACTGT